ATCATCACCATTACCCACCAGAGCACGTCGGGGATTCCTTCCAAACACACACACACACACACACATAAGCCCAAAAACAACTGAACACAAACACGCACACAAACCCTCCTCCGCTCCATCCCTCCCTGCACCCCTCTCACCTCCAGGAAGCCTCGCTCATCCAGGAAGCGGCGCACGCCGCCGATGATGCGGGAGCGGGTGCGGAAGATGTCCTGCACCTCGGGGTTGACAATGAGGTCCAGGTACCGCTGACGGTACCGCGTCTCCTGCAGTACCATGGCAGAGTACACATAGTTGTGAGGCAGGCAGGGAGGCAGGCGGGGCGCAGGCGGCGTTGCGTGTGTGTGTGTGGGCAGCGAGGCAGCGGCATGTGCAGGCTGCCTCGGCTCCCCTGCGCTCCTCTGCAACTTTCCAGCCACTCCCCAGCAGCAGGGCCCAGCCAGGCGCCTCCCAGGCTCACCGCCCAGCCAGGCTCACCTGGTCCTTCAGGCCAAAGTGGCCGCCCGGCGGCATGTGCAGGCAGGGCGCCAGCACCTGCAGGCAGGCGGGCAGGCGGGCAGGCGGGCGCAGCACGGTCTGGGCCGACGAGCAACCCGCTGCCGTGCCTGCGCCCGTGGCACCACCCGCGGCCCACCTCCCTGCCTCCCTCCACCCACCACAAGCACCCACATCCCCACCCTCACACCTCCTCCCCCACCCACACACAAGCGGCACGCGGGCCGCACCTGCAGGCTCCTGGGGAACACCGACAGCTCGCCGCGCTTGGACTTGCCCGGGAAGCCGCCCACGCCGACAATGTCGCCGCGCTTCACGCTGTTCATGAGGCGCTGGAAGTCCTCCAGGGCGCCCCCAAAGTTGCGGGCGTCGCACATGACCTGGATCTTGGCGCCCTCGGAGCGCAGGTCGAAAAAGATGAGCTTGGCGCCCGAGGCGGCTTTGCGCACGACGCGCCCCGCCAGGCTCACGCCCTCCTCCGGCACCTGCTGCCCCGGCTCCAGGCTGCCGTACTGGGCCACGTAGGCGGGCAGCTGGATGGAGACGTGGAACTTGTGAGGGTAGGGGTTGTCGCCCCGCGCCTTGGCCGCCGTCACCTGCGCCACACCGCAGGCCGCCCGGCGGTCAGCGCCGAGCGGCACCGGCGTCCAGCTCGCGCCCAGCCCCGCTCGACTGCCGCACCCCGCTGCAGCTTCTGGGTGGCAGCACCAGCGAGGGAGCTGGGACCCAGGGGCGGGAGGCGCCGCAGTGGGCGGGCCTCCCGGCTCGGCGCCGCCGCCACCACCGAGAGAGGCATCTCCACACCACCACACGCACCGCCCTGACTCGGTTCTCGTAGTACTTGGTGGGGTCGGTTTCCTCGTTGCTGTCATCCTCCAGAGCCACCGCCGCCTCGCCCTTGGCAGCCTTGGCCGCCGCCCGCGCCACCGCCTCTGCCGCCTGCTTGGCCTGCTCGCAGCCAGCGCAGCAGCAACGGGTGGTTGGGAGGGAGGCCACGGCAGGAGGGCCGCAGGTGCGGTGGGAGGAGAGGCGAGGGGGCCACAGAGGGCAGCGGCAGCCATGCTTCCAGCAGGAGACGACAGCAAGGCAGGTGCAGGCAGCCACAAGTCCGAAGCCGCGATCTGCCACCAAAACCAGAGCGACGGCTGGCGGCTGGCGGCGGCAGCGGCGGCAAACACACCTTCTTCTCCGCCATCTCCTTCTCCTTCTGCGCCAGCTTCTGGCGCCTCTTGAACTCGCTGCGGGTCAGTAGAAGCGGCGGGCGCAGTGGAAAGCAGGCCGCTCCGCCATCATCACCGTCCCACGCGCGCAGTGCAGCGGCATGCGAGCCCTGCCGGCCCCTGGCCACTCCAGCACGCACCTCTTGCTCAGCGGCTCCCCCTTCTCATCCACCAGGCCGTCCTCATACTTCTCAGGCAGCACCCACGCTTCTCCCGGCGCGCTCGTCATGTTTGCAGGCTGCTCGACAATCGTTGATTGACTCAGAGCAGCGCAAGATGCACGAGGCATCCAAGTCCCGCCATGGGGTGTGGGCGGCGCAGCGTGGCGCAGCAGGCGGCCGCCGCCGCAGCCCGAATGGACTTGCACGGACTTGTGCCTTGGCATGGCCGCTTCCATCAAGCGTCAGCCATCACAGATTCAGGACAGGCCAAAGAATGCATTTCAGTTTGAACAAAATCAGTGCAGTGACGACAAAATCAGAGCAGCAGCGTTCACCCAAGAGCGGTCAAACCAGGAGAGGTAACAGAGAGCAATGCGACGGATCACCGCATTGCAAGTCACGATGGCAAGTTGCGTTATTGTTCTGCTCTGGCAATGCCCAGCGCTTTAGCGTGCATGTCATGCTTGCCGCGGCAGCTTGCTCTTCATGAGGTTGCTAGGCGACACATCGCTGTCGCTGCCGCCGCCATCCAGGAAGGCGTCGCGCCCTCGTTTGCCGCCGCCGCCGCCGCCGCCCAGCACGGCCGCCGCCCCAGCGCAAGCCACGCCCGCCGCCGCGGGCGCCGGCGGCCGCGGCGGCTTGCAGGGCGTGCTGGTGCTGACCTTGGACCCAAACCGCTTGTGCACCCAGCTCTCAAACGCTTCATGCACCGCCCGCACATGCTGCGGCGAGGAGTTGCGCGAGTACACCCGCAGGCTCTTCTCCTGCAAGGGCCGGATGGGGAGGAGCGGCGGCGAGGCGGTGTCTCATGCCGGGCCCCGCAAGCGCTGTCTGCCCATGCCGCCGCCGAGCACCCACGGCGCTGGCGAGCGGAGGGCAGCACAGCACACACACAACAACCCAGCCCGCCTGCCAGCCCGGGCAAACCCCCAGCACACACACAGCCTACCACCCGGGACAGGCAAACACACACACACTGACACACTGACACACTGACCAGGCTAGCAGCCTCCCAGCCCCGCCGCACCATCCCACCCCTCACACCTGGTGGTATGCCACCACAAAGGAGGAGATCTGCTCGGGGCGCAGCTTGCGCTTGTGGGTGGAGTCGAGGCGGTCGAAGAAGTGCACCGCATCCAGCGGGTTCTTCTCCTTGGCGCTGTAGTCTATCTTGTTCTCCTGCGAAGGCAGAGGTACAGGCAGCGGGGGCAGGGAGAGCGGGAGAGAGATGAGGGAGGGAGAGGGCGCGTGTGAGAGTGTGGGTGGGGGCTGTGGGGCGCAGGGCAGGCGGGGGTGGAGGGCACAGGGCAGCGCGGCTGCACCGCGTGCGGCCGCTCGCGGCGGCGCGCCCAACGCTCCGCCCAGGGCCGGCCCGCCGCGGGCCCAGCCTTCCGTGCCGCCCCCTGCTGCCCGTTGCCGCCGCACCTGCAGGATGACGTCCTCTGCCCGCAGCTGAACCTCGCCGCCCCTGTAGCTATTGACGATGTCCTGAGGGCTGGGGGCGCTCCACTGGCCCCGCTCCAGGCATTCCTGCACGGGCGAGGCGGCAGCGGGCGGGAGCGGGTGGGCGGCGGCCAAGAGGTCGGCTTACAACACAGCCGGGCGCCAGCCGCAGAGCGGCGTGTCGCTGTGCGGCACCCATCTGTGCCGCCTTGTTCACGGCTGCCTGCCCTGCCCCTCTGCCCGCCCCGTGGTCCCCCCAGGCCTGGCCTCCCAGCCTCTTCCGCCTCCCCAGTCACCCGCCTGCGGGATGAGGCACTCGGTGGCATACTTGTACAGCTCCCGCCGCCGCAGGCGCTCGATGATGGCCCGCGCCGACCGCAGCGCCGCCTCGTCCTCGGGCTCCACGTTGAGGAAGCGGCGGTACAGCTCGAAGTTCTCGACCACCTGGGAGGCGGGGCAAGGGGAGGCAACGTAAGAAAACGTTTTGCACCCTGCCTCCTGCCCGGCCCAAACAACTGCTGGCACCACGGCATCACGCATGATCTGTGCGCCACCTCACATCCAACACGTTGTCATCTAGCAGCTGGAAGTCTGCCGCCGACCGGATCTTGTCGCTGATGCGCAGCGCAGAGTCCGCCTCCAGCAGCGCATCCACCACCATGAACTCGATGGCCTTGCACTTCCTGCGGTACCGCCGGCAGTACAGACGAGCAGTACAGTTTGCGCGCGCAGCGGTGCCCTGCTGCGGCATCGCGACGAGCGCAGCCCTGGCGGCTCGGCTCACTTGTGTGTGTAGACCTGGCTGTGCATCAAGGCGCGGGTGTGGAAGAGCTGGTACAGGTTGATATACTCTGAAGGGGGTGGGAAGGAGGACGAGAGAGGAGGGGAAGACAGAGTCAGGCGCCGGATGAGGAGGAGGAAGAGGGGAGAGGCAGAGGCATCGGCTGCGAGGCGAGGCGTGGTGCGAGCCGAGCGGCGCACCGGTATACTTGAAGCAAATCTCGTCGCCAATGACCTGCCGGCCGGCAGCAAGAGCGGCAGCAGGAGTGTTGGTAGGGACCCTTCCCGGTCACGGCCGTCGCGGCCGCACACACTGACGCGGGCATGGGCGGCGGCGGCAGCTCGCGCTGGCGAGCAGGGGCAGGGGCGCAGCGCCCAGGCCACGGAGACTTCCCAGGCAGCACCGCACCTTGCTGAACTGGATGATGCGGTTGAAATCGCAGGACAGGTTTAGGCCGCAGTACATTGAGTCACGCTTCAGGTAATCAAACTGCGGCAGCACAGGGAGGAAAGAAGCAAGCCATGATGAGGGTGCTGGGCGGATGCCAGCAGCACGCCCCGGCCTGCACGCAGACGGCCTCGCCCTGGCCCACGCGGCGCCTGCTACACCGCTCCTGCGGCACAGCCGTGCCGCGCAGTGGTACGGCGGTACCGCACCTTGTCCACGTCTATGTTGTTGCGCCCGTTGGCAACGATCTCGTACAGCCACCGCTTGCCGGGCGGCGGCGCCATGCTGGCGCCGTGCCCAGACAGGATCATGCTCTGCGGGGCGCGGCAGCGGCGGCAGGGCTGTGGGCGAGGCACATGCTGCGGCTGGCACACACTGCAGCACGTATTCACAGCAGAAGCAAAAGCAAAAAAGACACAGCCCCAGCATGCAGCGCTGGCACAACGAGCGTCTGCCATCCGCCTCGGCGCCCGCCCACCCACACCCACCTGCACGGTCTTCACATCGTGGCTGGTCAGGGAGTCCATGTGGTTGGCATCGATGATGTGATCCAGCATGGCAGTCGACATGTCCTCATGCTCCCTGCATGGGGAAGCGCGCGCATGGCGTGGGTACTGGAGAAAAGGGCGCAGAGGCGGGGGCGGGGGTGGAGGGAGCCACGAGGGACGGGACCAGCGGGCTCCAGGCTCCCCGTGGGCATGGCAGCGCAGGGGAGCCGCAGCCGGGCGCACCAATCTGTGATGCCCTTGCGGCGCAGGAACTCCCGGTCAAACACATGAGAGAAGGGGCCATGGCCTAGGTCGTGACACAGCCCTGCCAGCTCCACCTGCGGCACACACACACGCACCCATCCGCCCGGTGCGGCGGCAGCGGCGGCGTCAGCGAGGAGGGCACGGGGAGAACAGGGGCAGCGGGGGCACAACCAAAGACAGCCTGCGAGCGAGCAGAGGCAGCGGGAGGAGGGTACCAGCATGGGCAGCTAACGGCCGAGAGCGAGCAGGGCGGCACGAGCGCAGCAGGCAGGAAGGCGGCGGCAAGGGTGCAGCCCACCAGGCGCAGATCTCGCCGCTCTATCTCCAGCTCCCCGCGCTGCATGGTCCACAGGTGTGTGGCAAAGCGGTAGGCCAGGTGCGCCACCCCCAGGCTGTGCTCAAAGCGGTTGTGGCTGGCCTGCACGCGGAGGGGAGGGCCGGGCGGGCAGGCGGCGGCGGCTCGGGCAGAGCTCTGAGGGCGGCGCGTTGCCGCCAGGAAGCTGCCCGCGTTCTTTAAAGCGCGACCTTAGGTGTGTGTTTGTGTGTTTCGAGAGGGAATCCCTGCCTCTTGTTCAGCCCCAGCAGAGCAGCAGGGGCAGGGAGCTGGGCGGCGCGCTCACTCCTGGGAACACCATGTAAGTGAGGCCCAGCTGCTTGAGCCGGCGCAGGCGCTGGAACTGTCGGGTGTCAAAAATGAGGGTGGAAACAGGGTCCAGCCGGAACGAGCCGTGCACTGGGTCCTGAGAGGGTGGGCGGGGGGCTGGCAATCAGGCAGGCAGGGAAGCAGGACGCGGGGGGGGGGGGGGGGG